TGGAGGGGGGGGATGGGGGTTTGGGTTGGAAAAAATGGGGACTTGAGTGGGAGGAAATAGAGATTTGGGATGGAAAAATGGGGTCTGAAGTGGAAGGCTGGGGATTTGGGGTGGGAAAATGGAGGTTTGGGTGGGAAACTGGGGATCTGGGGGAAAAAAGGAGGATTTTAGGGGCGTCGATACCTTCCAGATGCATACATCTTCTCTTGAAGGCACCCAAGGGTGGGAAAGCGTGGATTTGGGGCTGAAAGGAGGAGATTTGGGGCTGAAAAATGAGGATTTACAGTTGAAGAATGGAGATGTGGTGCTGAGAAGTGCAGATTTGGGGGTGGAAAATGAGGATTTGGGGGTCAGTGCTCCTCTCTAAGCCGCATTTTCTCCTCTTGCAGGCACCCAGGGCCCCCACCACCCCGCTTCCCCGGTCCTGGAGGACCCCCAGGCCCCATGGGCGGCCCCATGCACCCCGATATGCACCCCGACATGCACCCCGACATGCATCCCGACATGCACCCCGATATGCATCCCGACATGCATCCCGACATGCACCCCGACATGCACCCTGACATGCACCCTGACATGCACCCCGACATGCACCCCGACATGCATCCCGACATGCACCCTGACATGCATCCCGACATGCATCCCGACATGCATCCCGACATGCCCATGGGGCCGGGCCCCCCCATGATGCCCTACAGCCCTGAGGGGTCCCCCCACGGTGCCCTCCTGCCCCCCGGCGCCGCCCCCCCCCAGGGATACTATGATGGATTCTATGGACCCCCCCCGGAGGGGATGGAGATGGAGCACGGAGCCATGGGGGGGCCAGGTATGTGTGCACCAATTAGGGGCTTTTTAGCCCCGAATCTGCCTCTCTCACACCTCATTTTCCCCCACATCCATCTCTATCACCCCTCGTTTCCCCCCAGATACACCCCTTCACCCTCATTTCCCCCAAATCCACCTCTGTAATGCCCTATTTTCCCCCAAATCCAACACCAGAATGCACCATTTTCCCTAAATATACCCAGTAACCCCTTATTACCCCCCAAATCCACCCCTGTAATGCCTCATTCCCCCAAATACACTCAGTAAACCCCTATTTCCCCAAATCCACTTCTAAAATGCCCCATTTTCAACCCCAAATCCATCTAATAACCCCTCATTTTCCCCCAAATCCACCTAATAACCCTTCATTTTCCCCAAATCCACTTCTGTATCACCTCAATTCCTG